GCGGTAGTGGCAGGCGGCGGTGGAGCAGTTGCTCCAGATGCAGGTGATCGCTGGCTGCGGCAGCTCCGCTGCGGGGAGCAGGAGGAAGCGTGAAAACAAGGACTGTAAAAGCCCTCGTTCTGTGTCGATGTTTGACATGAAGAAAGGAGAGGGAGGGGGAAAAAAAAAAAGAAGGAAAAGGCTCACCGTACACATGCAGGATGAAGAGAGCTTTTGCCGTTGTAGAGAATTTAGCCGTGTAGATGCCAGCGTCTTCCATTGCCAGCTGCGAGATGGTGATTGCGGTGCCATTGGCAGAGAAGTTCAGGCGACTCTTGTAGGTTTGGTCAAAATAAATGATGTCAGGAGGGTTTCCAAATTTGACAGTTGCTAGCAGTTCGCTCTGAAAGTGCCAGGCTACGTGCTTTCCCAAGAGGCGCTGCAGACGAAACGTGATGGACTTGCCCGCAGCCCCGTTCCATTCTGTGGCTGTGCCGTCCCCAGAGCACACTGGGAATAAAAGCGAGAGCGAGATTCACTTGCCACGGCCAAAGCGGCCGGGGGGCACCGAGACTGGAAAATCCCCCAGCTGCCAGTGGAGAAATGAGACCCGGGGTGGTAAGGACCAAAGCCTAGTTCCTGCTCCAGCTGTTCCCTTTAGGTAACACTCCTTGTTCCTGTCCTGGTCTGCTCAGGATCTCCACAGGCCCAGGGGGCTCCAGCACTGACCGCCCCTAGCTGAGACCTTGGGAGTTACAACATGAGTGAGTCCCAGGCCAGACCCTTCCTGGCTCTCCAGCGGTTGCAAGGTGCTGGCTTTTGTTTGCTTTTTTTCCCCCCCCCCCCCCGGCCACAAGAGCCCCACATGCCCTTGTTGGCAAAGCACCCTGGCGGCTTGGCACGGTCATGGGGTGCCCAGGCATGCCGGCGTGGGTGAGGCGCAAAGAGCTGAGGTGAGAAGCAAAGGTGCGAAGACGAGGTTGCAACAGCTCCAGAGGGCAGAGACCTTCCGTGTCGTCAGCAGCCCGCACAGCCCCGCTCTGCCGTGGGATGGTGGGATGGGCAACTTTCTCCCTGAATATCCGGCTTCTCGGGGACGTGCCGCCGCGAGGACGCCTATCTCCGGCTGCAGCTGGAGAGAGGAAAAAACTCGCCGGGGAGATAAACTCTTGTGGGCAGATGGGGTGGGAGGAGGAGGCGCTGCCATTCGAAATGGCCATTGCAGCAAGGTGGGTTACGGCGTAGCAGAGCCCTCGGGGGCGGCCAGGAGGGCAATGAGGAAGGCAGCACTCCGGCATCCACTGCTGAATGCTCACTTTCAGCTCGCAACAGAGAGCGAAGCTGCTATTTTGAGTGCAGCTGCCTGCAAACTCAGCCCAGGAGCCTGGGGCAGGGGAGACCAACACTAGGAGCTGCAGAAGCAGCCGCGGCCAGCCCAGGTGACTCGCCGCCACCTTGCTCTGCGCTGCCCAGAAGCCAGATGCCAGCTTTGGGGTCTCCAGAATCACAAAATGAGTTGGAAAGTCACAAGATTTTTCCTTTCGTACTTTCCTTAGTTTTACTTCCAGCCCTTCGCCAGTGCTAGGCTCACGTTTACAAAATCCTCAGGAGAGCAAGAAAACGGGCACAAAGTATCCTTTGTGTTAAACAGCCCTAACTGCCCCACGCTAACATCACATGATCTGGAGATGCTGGAAACCATGCAAAGAAAACCTAAACTGGGAACAGAAAGCCAAGTAGCATGGGCTAGTAAGGCAAGCGCTTCAGCCCAGGCACATCCAGGCAGCACCTGGTGGGAGCCGAGACCCGATACCTTCACTGCTCACCGGCGCGGGGGCCGCGCGGGCTGCCTGCGAGTGCGGGACCCGGACTGCGCTCTGCACCTTTCCCCCTACTTTGTCCCACCTCCTTAGCATGGCAGAGAAATAATTAACAATATGGCAATTTAATGACACCGAACGTTAAAGCCTCCCCCCAGAGCGCGCCAGCCCTGCCTCGTCCCCTGTCCCAGCTGCAAGAAAACCCGAACGCTTTGCGCTTACTTGCTCGGTGAAGCAGGACGGCAAAGGGCAGGTACCAAAATCCTCCCATCTAACTGCAGCTCGTGGGAGCAGCTGCCTCCACCCAGCTGCCTGCGAGCACTGTGGCTAGAAGCGGAAGCGGTACTGTTGACTTCCTCTGTGCGCAACTTTGCCACGAGACCCTTGGTGGCTGAAAGCGTTTGGGGGCTCTTTTTGTTTTGATCCAATGTTAAACTTTACCATTTTCGAAGCCGGTAGACCTCACGCGGACCACAGCGGCACGTCGCAGGGTCAGCCAGCAGCCCCACAGCACCAGGTGCCTTTTCGGCAAGGACGAACAGCGGTGCGTCAGGCTCTGCCCCGCAGCGAGTGCTGGACGCAGAAATCAGGGCTTTGCACTATTTTAGGAGCTTGAGGTCGAGCGCAGGCTCGCCCTTCCTCGGGCCTTGGCCGGGGGGAAGTGGGTGTCTTGGCTGACACACAGTTTTCCAGGCAAGCAGGTCAGCTGATTTTCATTAGTAATGAAAGGAGGAACCAAAGCACATGCAAAAACACTGATTCCCTTCCTCCCTTGAGCAGCCCCTGGAGGCTCCTGCTGCAAAGCTGCTCAATGGGGTGGCTGCCTGCACCCCTGCTGTCCCTGCTCCCCATCCCACCTCTGCCCCTGCGTGCCGCCTGCTCCCTGGCCTGGAGGAAGGCAAGGGCACGGATGGAGAAGCGAAAGCGCCTGCCGGGGTGGCAGCTGCGGGCACAGTGGGAGACGAAGGGCTCATCCTATTTATTTTGCCCAGCTCTCACGCGGACCATTTTGAAAGATTTTTTTACTACAAATTTATTTTCCTTTCCAGTAGCTGCTGCACATAAGGTCAGACCTGCTGCATGAGATGAATTATATTGGGATAACCATATTGGGATAATCTAATCACTTGACCTGGGGACTTGGAAACAACTTGCAGCCCTGATGCCTCCTCCAGCATCTTGACCCCGGCTGTTTCCGCAGGGACAGCATGCACCGTCAGTGGGTGAGCCGGGCAAGCCCCTTGGGGTGCTTGGGCTCTTTGGCAAATTAAACTTTTAAAAGTCAGTCTGGAGTAGGCTCTCCCCACAAGTCATCAGCAGAAAGGAGCTGTGCCGTCGCACGGGATGCTCCTGCCCCTGCAGCCGCGCGGGTGAGACCCACTGGGTGCCTTGTGCGGTGGGCAGCGCGGCAGAGGCTTCAGAAATGCCACTTCCTCGGGCAAGGGGCTGAAACCTGCTGGCTTTGCAACTGGCTGCGGAGGAGAGCTCTACAAATGGTTTTCTCTTTCTTCTTTCTGCCTCTGAAGCTGCCTTCTTTGGCGTCACCCTGCACCGCGCCGGCTGCTGCAGGCCATGGGTTTCCTTCCTCTAGTGAACCGGGGCTGAAGCCCGGGGTCCCCACTGGGTGCAAACCCCTGGGGCTGCTCGGCCGGGTTGGGCCGAGCCTGGGGGCATGCAGGGAGGCCCTGGGGACCAGCCCTGGAGATGCCCCACCCTGCATCCCCCCTCTCTCATACCAGCTGTCAGGGCCCCTCTGGAGCCCTCCTGCCTTTTCTCGGGCTTCGGTCTCTTCTTGGTGCATCACATCTCACCAGCAACAGCCCGAGGAGATTTCTCATCTTGCTTCAGTTTGGCCCTTTGCTTTGCCATTCCTTAGCTTTGGGGCTGCCATTTGCAGCGGTCGAGGCTCAGCTTGGCAGTGCATGCTGGAGAGTTTTACACTGATTCCCCAGAGACGGTGGGATTCCCTCCAGCCCAGGCTGTGGATGCCAGCACCCAGGGAGCCAGGCCGGCAACGGCCAAGGCCAAGGTGTCTCTAGGCTGTCACTCACATGCCACGGCGAGGCTCAGATCATGGGCAGTGTCACGCTGGCGTAGACTGTCGTGGGCCCCTTGTCGGAGGTCTACACCGGAAAGCAGAAAAACAGGCAATGAGGGGCTGCACCGCTCCTGGAAACCTGCTGGTTTCCATCGAGAGCCGCTTCAGTCACGTGGGATTTTCCAAAGGGAAAAAGCGAGCGGTGGGGAAACGCCTGGCAGTGGCCCTTACCTGCAAGAGGAGAGGGGGTCCCGGCAGGGCACGCGGCTCTGCCCCGGGGCCGTGCACGGGGCGCTGCTCCCACGCTCAGAGAGCAAAAAAAAATGCACGTTCTGTCCCCAAAATGCCACCCGGGTGCCGGGGCAGGCACAGCAGCCAACACTGTTCCCAGCTCATCCCAAACGAATAGGCTGATTGCTGGGACTGCTGGCAGCATCCTCGCACTGGGAGGGGAGCGATGCCCTGGGAGCAGGACCAGCCCTGGCCCGGGGAGCTCCCACCCTACCAAAGGCCAGATTTAGCCTGTCTTTGGCCACAGCTGCAAGGCTTCATTGACACCCAGTGGCCAAATCTCGGCCCGCGTGACGGCGTCAGACCGGGGAAGAAAACTCCCCCTGCATCAAGCAGCATCCTCCGGCAGGAGCCAGCCGGGTGCTGCTCCCTCCTGCAGGGCACCGGGAGCTCGGTGACGCTCCGAGCTGCCAGTGGGGAAGCCCCCGCCGCGCTCACCTCCACCCGCTGCACTTGGGAGTAGATGGTGTGCACGGCGCTGTCCTCGGCGAGCTGCGTGGGCTCCTGCTTCAGGCCTGTTTCGGGGAGGGAGGAGGTGACAAAATTACTGCTGCGACTTGCACGGGAAGGGGGGGGATGGCACAGCAGCAAAGCCCGACACTGGCGCGATGCAAGCGCCTGGGGGAGAGGCCCGCGGACTTATTGTTAATCATCATTTTTGCAAATTGGTGGTTGAAAAGGGGGTGGGAGAGGTGTCAGCAAGGGCTAACGGCTGGGCCCCTCCGATGAGACCTCCAGAGGGAGAAATCTCTCATGTTTGGCCTGGGATCATTCGGTTTCTCTTGAAATCTTGTGCTACGATCACAGGAGCGTATCACTCGGGGAACACGCTGCAGATCACGTGCTTGTCGAAGCAGGTACGTTTCTCTCTTTTTCTTCTTTCTACCAGTTTCCTTCCTGCCTTTGACTCTCGGGCTTAGAGAAAAGCATGTTTTGGGCCTCCGCGTGGGTGAGGGGGCTCCCGGGCCGAGGCACCCCGGCACTCACCTGCACGCAGAGTCACGCACCTGGCTATCACTCGGGGAACACGCTGCAGATCACGTGCTTGTCGAAGCAGGTACGTTTCTCTCTTTTTCTTCTTTCTACCAGTTTCCTTCCTGCCTTTGACTCTCGGGCTTAGAGAAAAGCATGTTTTGGGCCTCCGCGTGGGTGAGGGGGCTCCCGGGCCGAGGCACCCCGGCACTCACCTGCACGCAGAGTCACGCACCTGGCCACCAGCGCCCCCATGGCCATCATCACCACCGCGACCAGCACTGCAACCACCAGCACCACGTGGCCCGTGCGCAGCCCAGAGCC